CTCAGGGAGCCTGTGGCGTAAGATCTGTGAGTCATGAGCTTCATTACTTGTGCAGTGAAGTTAGTCTGAAGTTGACGTAGGTGACTTAGGCGTTCGGGGTTGTGGTTGAAGATTTTGTGCCACGGCAGTGGCTGACATACAGTGAGCGTTTGTGGGCAGGCACATTTTCGACATAATATTGACTCCATTCGGTGACGGATGCAATCTCAATTTGTAGCCAGAGCAAGAACCCCAGATGTCTGTGACTCCTCCGACTCCCCCGCCTCCTGACTTTTCGGGCTAAGCGAGATCTGGAGACCGCCCTTAAGGCTGTGCAGCTTGAACGCATGTGAGGTTNNCAATCAGTGGAATCCCGAGCATGTCGCACGAATAGCTACGGAGCGAGATCGACAAGGTTTGAAGGCGATCATGATGCATTGAAGCGATGCAGTACGCGTCACACGAGATGAGACCCCGAGGCAGGGCCAAACTTGGTGACGAGCATCCGCAAACGCTGAGTTCGATGGGGGTCTTGCAGGAGTTGTGGTACGAGAACTTGGTTTCTTGTGGGCCATGCTGCGCTGCCAGCGTTTTCTGGCATTTCTAGAGAGGCTTCTTGATAGGGCACACCATGCCGGTTAGTTTGTTTGAGAAGCACTTAGCACAGTAAAGGGGTGCGTTGAGTGCGTTGTTGCGCCTTGTCCAGCCGGTGATGGAAGCAGCATGACAGCATGATGCGACCTTGCACCAAAACCAGGAGGGTTGGTTCTGCTAATTGAATCGTTGTGTCGAAGCATGCCATTATTTTCAGTTTCGGCAGCTGTGGGGACTGACGCAATGATTCGATTACCCCGCCCGCCCCACAAGACTGCAACTGTTCTGTCTCCAGATGCAAATCGGAAAATGGTTAATGTATTGAAGCATTTGACCAGGACTTCGTGGAGACCTGTAGGTAAGGACACGTTCAATCCCTCTGACGGCGGGGGCCGAGGCCGGGCGAAGCTTGGCGACTCGCACCCGGACACGATGAGCAGCATGTACAACTTGGCCGACTTGCTGAAGACGATGGGCCAATTGGAGGAGGCAGAGCAGCTCTTCCGCGAAGAGCTCGAGAAGTGCGGCTCGGCCTTCACTGGGCACTGAGGGTCGCGTTGGTGGGGGTCAAGACAAGTCGCGACTTTGCGTTGTTGTCGCTCTTACCTGCTATTTTGACCCCTTTACAGCAGCACTTTTCAGGTCGGTCTGTCCACGGCGCCCAACACGAGGACACCATTGGCTCCATCCGGAACTTGGCCGAGTTCCTGGAGGACCCGTCCTCGATTCTCGAGTCGGGCTGAAGGCAGGTTCAGGCCACTGCATCCTCTCGACAGAGCATCCCCACAGATCCAATATGTATCCGTGAAGTAATGGTGGAGTTGAAAAGTAAGCTTTCGATGCTACACAGGCTGTTCTTCGGCTACAGTGTTCTGCCGTGAGGTTCTGGAGTCTTCAGCAGTTGATCCTAGGCCTTCGAATCGGACCGCGGTTCCGGAAGCTCTTGTAGCCATTCAGCCTCAGACACCGGGCGCAGCAGTGAACTTTAACTCTGCCAGGCATTAAAGATGACCGTACATTGTAAATGCTGTGTACTACGCTTGCGCCCGTGCGTACCTTGAGAGAGATGTGCCCAGCTAGGCTCCACGATCGGGCTTTCAATGCCAGGCTCGTATACATCACATCTCACAAGCTCAATACTGGCTGGAAGCANNTCGCTGTTGAAGGCCCTGTTGTTGGGCTTTCCCGAGCTTCAGACCGAAGGGTGCAATAAAGCGTGAAGTCTTGGGAAGAGCGGTGGAGCACAATGGAGCCCAACGTTCCGATCCTGGCCAAGCAGGAGGTGTCAGTTCTTTGTGACCCATACCCCGGCCCTCACAACTGGGGTAACGAGTGGCAGGATCGGGGCCGCTATGAGGAAGCCGTGCCGCTGCACCGGCAAGAACTGGAGATCTGCCACGGCCTCAGGGAGCCTGTGGCGTAAGATCTGTGAGTCATGAGCTCAATTACTTGTGCAGTGAAATTAGTCTGAAGTTGACGCAGGTGACTTAGGCTTTCAGGGTTGTGGTTGAAGATTTTGTGCCACGGCAGTGGCTGACATAGACTAAGCGTATGTGGGCAGGCACATATTCGACATAGTATTGACTCCATTCGGTGACGGATGCAATCTGAATTTGTAGCCAGACCACGAACGCCAGATGTCTGCGACTCCTCGGATTCCCCCCCTCCTGTCTTTTCTTACGGCTGGGTGTGCAGCT